ATAATTCTAAGGATTTCCATTATATAGGCCAGTCAACTTCATCCACGTGTGGCTAGAATCTAATTATCTGTGAACGGGGCCATGTGCCCAACACCTTTGTGCGGTTCAACTAATGCAGTATTTATGGGGCGAAAATTACACTGCGTATACGTAATGTTACGTATGCGCCCCCAAGGCTGGCGGCAACTTTTGACATTTGATTACGGCACGCATTACCTCAAAAAGCTGAAAACTGTAGGAAAATGTTAAATTGCCGTGGTGCACCGTCTTGTGTGTCTTGTGTTCTTGGCAGGGGGAAATGCAGCACATGGCTCACGAAAAAATGTATTACATATAAATCCCTATTTACACATACATCTTTTAATGCAAATGACAACTGCAACAATGAGACAATATACATTATGTATCGTCATTACAGTAATTTGCTTATGTAAACGACTTGACATACCCTCCCCCCTCCCCCAACCCATTTCGCCGCCCGAAAATGAAATTAAAGGATGAGAATTGAATAAAACTCAATGAGCCTGCCAGTCGAGGCCGGCGAAAAAAAAACAACAATTTTTTAATGACTTCTGGCCAAACATACCTACGGATGCCTGTACATAAGTGGCATGTGTACATAAGGGCTTATCTACTTGCAGGCCTCTCCACACACATATATACATGGGCCATATATAATGTGGTACATTAATCGATAATTGCATTTTTTCGTTTCTTTTTTTTTTGTTGTTGCTGCTGCTTTCCCATTTCTTTTGCCACTTTTCATGCGTTGTCTCTCTCATGGCGCATGCCATTTGCATTTCGTTAAGCGTATGTGTGTGTAAATGAGTTTCCGTGTTTAATTGCTTCAATTTTTTTCGGTTAGTATGGGTTTAAGGTACGAAACCAACCCAGCAAAAAAAAAAAATCCCCACACAAAATGCAAATAAATCATACGCCCCGCTGCGGCGGGTCACAATTAGTTTAGTCATTTGGCTTTAATAGCTAACTTTGATTAAACGCACTTTCGTTTTTGTTTGTCAGTCGGTTGTTGTAGGTTTTAGGGCACCGCACCGCAGCGACGACCCCAGAGCAAACAAACGGACAGACAGGACGACAGGCCAACTGACAGGATGGGCAGACGGGGGGCGAACTGGAACTCCAGGCTCGATCCCTCCATTCCGCTTAGTTTACCATCCCAATAGCCCACCTGACGTGTCACGTTGCGTTGCCTTGAATGGCAAACTCTCCCGCACACACACTATCCTAACACCTATTCAAGCACACACACACTCACACCCATCCAGTCATAGGTCAGACTACACACCGACATCGACATACACCCATTTTTCTTCTATTTTTCTTGTACAGGAGTCGCTGGCAAAATCTGGACTCATTAGGCTTAGGAAAAATAAAGGAACTTAAATCAGAAAGCTTTCTGTAGCTTTAGTTAACAATCTTTATGAAAATAATATTCCAGGGTTCCCTAAAATCACTAGGGTTATGAAATCACTTTTGAAAACGTTAAAAAGTATGCAACAGTATATTTTGGCTCTAAAACCTCTTAAGTCACTAGATATTGTCGTTAAAAGTAAACATTTTTTTTTTTTTAAATATTCTAGGGCTATTTTCACTAAAGTTATAAAATAACTTTTGAAAGTGTTGAAAAGTATGCAACGAAATATTTTTATCCAACAAATCCATTGAGTTTTAACAGCACTCTTCTATACACCTTTTCAAACACTAGTGATTTCTGTCGTACTACCCAGATTTTATGTTATTCCATGTTTCTGCTCAAGGCTTTATTTTTAAAAAGGAAATTCATCCTTAGAGGTTCAATATCGCTGTTGTAAGTTTCTGAAAATATTAAAAAATATAAGCTATTACTTATCAGACGATCAATTTTTATTAGGAAATACTTTACAGCTTACTTCTAGGCATCTCTTTTATAAGAGTTTTTAACAAAGCAGATTTTTCTTTGGTACCTACAGAAAACAAGCTCCTTTTATTTAGTTGCCTTTAGTTAAGATATGTGGTTACATAAGTTACATAAAAAATAAAGTAAACACCCCCAATCAGACAAATTTGATAGGAAACACTATTTTTACAGCATACTTCTATGCATATTTTTAAGAGATTTCATCTCAAGACATATATCTTTGTCACTTGAACTTGCAGGAAAACAAGCTTATATTATTTAGTTGCCTTTAGAAAAGAGACATGGATTAAAAAGAATGAAGTAAACCCCATTAGACACCTTTAACCGAGGTGCCACTGTAAGTTCGCGGCCAGCGAAAAATTCTATTTAGCATACATTCAGGCGCTGCTTGCTTGGCATAATGTGAACGCGGGCAGACAGCAATGATGGCACTGGCACTACCCCACCAGAACCAGAACTCCAACCAGAACCAGAACCAGTAGCACACCCAGAAACTGAAACATAACCCGAACCCAAAACAGCATTGAAATCCCGCCTTGCGGCCGTCGACGTCGTCATCTTCATACGCAATGTGTGTCGCCCCGACCACATGCACAAAACAAACGCACACTCGTGCAGCCGGAGACAAAACACGGCAGACACTGACTGTGTGCGTGAGTGCATTGCGTGCGTGCATTCTGCCTGTGTGTGTGTTTGCTGGCAGATTGGTGTATATGTGTGCATCTGGCAGACCCCGAAGAAGAAGAAGAAGCAGCTTTAGTAGGGGAACCCCCATTTGGCATTTCGCCTGTGCGTAGGGTTTCCTTCGCTAAAAACACACGCACCCTTCGTCCGCAGATGGCCGAATGCAATTTGTGGCTCGTTTTGTAATGAATAGGAATTAGCAGCTGAACGACGGGGAAGTGGATAAGCCACAGTTAATTGATACAAACCAATAGATCGGTGGGACGTGGCTTAAGGGCCTCGTAATTAGCTGGGAAAAAAGCTCAGACCTTATTAAAAAAAAATTGAATAATAAAGGTTTTCTTAACCTCCGTTTTTTGTTTAATATTAAGAAAATTATAATAATTTCTTTTAAATCTAAATCTAAACTTGGTCACAAAATCTGTTTGAGCTCTAAAGTAATTATTTAAAGTAAAAAATCAATAGCTTTTTAAAAATATTTATAAGAGTGTCTAAAAGTATGCAATGAAAAATACCAAAGCTTCGTCTTTATACTGAATCTATCGGAAGTCCGTTTTGAAAACATGCTGCATACTTTTAGACACCTTCAACACTCACTTTGAGTATTTAATAGAGAATTTAAATTAAAGGAGTTTAAGTTTAATAACCAAGATACATATACTAAAAAATGTTTTAACGAAAGGTATGGTTGTAAATGGAGTTATGTCGTTGATTAATTTAATCAGCTTGTATAATAAATCGTAAATCCCACGTAGGGCTTATTTTCTGGCAGGGCATTTGCCTATCGTGCAAATCCCGCTATCGGGCTCACTGCATTTTTTAACGACAAAATGCAGGCGTGTGTCTGTGGACTGGTTGCATTTTAAAGTTTGAGTTTTGTACGTCCCGTGCGTGCATTCACCTCGTTTTTTCGCCTTTTTTCGGTGCGTGCGGCAGGTGGAAAGTCGGGACAAGGTTTGTGGCGGGTAGGCGGTGGGGCAACGTTGACGTCGCAACCCCCGAAGCGCTAAAACAACGACAACAACAACAACGATGACGATGACGGCGACGACGACGACGACCCTGTTTATTTGAGCGCTTAAAAAACTGCAGTTGCAGTTGCAGTTGCCGTTGCAGCTAGGAAAGCAATGCAATTTTTACACTGCGAAAAGTTTGAACATGCCGCTCCACTTTTGCGCCGGAATGAGCAGCAGTAGCAGCTGCAGTGCGTCGCTGGTTGGGGTTCCCCCGATCCTTCTGCCCATCCCTCCACCGGCTGCTCCACTTCAGCCCCAAGTTGCCATGCCCATTCCCATTCCCATTCCCCAAACGCACGCACCGAACACACGCACTTGTGCGCAATCAGGACGATGGGGACAGCCACAAGGACATGAGGGTGCTGGAATTTCTGAAACCCACCCACCTTCTAACTTCCGGTTCGGAACATAGGCTCAGTCTTGTTTTCTTTTTTTGGCACTAAAAATGCTACAAAATACCTTGATATCCCTCCATATAAATGTTGTATTTTTGGTCTCTCATATACTTCTATATATTTATTTTTTTCCTTCATTTTCTTCGACTGGCCCTCCTTTAATTCGCATTTCGTGTGAGTTGACGCGTAGCCTTTTGCCATATGCGCAAAAGTTTTGCTTTTGAGCCACGCATGCCTGCCCCTTCAAGTGGCGGGGTTGGAGCCCAAACCACATATATGTTCTCCCACTCCGGTGGCCAAATGCATTTTGCATTAAATTGCATAACTTTTGTGCGGCAATTAGAGTTCTCGGACGGGCCAAGAAGGTTGGCCAAGTAGAAATGCAGCACAAGTCGCCTCAATGCAAACATACAAATCTATCAATTTTCCACTCGCACACATTTCGTATTCAATAATTACGCATACGCAGCGTGTGTCCCGTCTTTTAAGTATAGTGCACCCCTCACAATTTGCCATTTCTTTTTCGTTTCGATTCATTTTTTTCCTTTTTTCCATGCATTTTTCTCCTATACTTAGTGGCATTGCATTTCAATTAAGTAATTTCTGTCTGCTAAAATTCCCAGGAGCGAAACAGCATTAGGGTTTGGGTCGACTGAAGAAGAAAATAAAAAAGTGGTTTATTAATTGCCACCACTAGGCAAATTATAGTTTATTAAGCCATGCAACTGGCATAATACTCTTGAACTGCTCAGGAACTTTAAATAATTAATGCACCGCAGATTGGCCTTCTCGGCGAAATTGCGAATGTGTTTTGAGTGGGGCCACAAAAGTATGCAGTCAGTGGAAAAAATATTCAATAATCTCATATAAAACTTAAGCTTTAAAATAAACATACAGTATTTAAATCTATTATATTGTATACTGTTAAAAAATATTTATTTTTAAATATTTAATAAACTTTTTTTTATTTTCTTTCCTTTCTTTCAGGCCTAGAACGCGTTGCTGAAGAATTTATGGGTCGCAGGCAATGGAAACATTATCAAGAGCAACTGACGCGCAGCCACTTGAATATCGAGGAGCAACAGCCCATAGCAATAGCCGGTTCCGAGGACGAGCCACCGCAATACAAGCCCAGCAGCAAGGAGCCCAACCACTGTGAAACAGAGAACCACCGTCTAGAGCAGCACCACAACGGCAGCCAGCTGCTGGAAGAAGATTTTGGTGGGTTATATGATACCTATATAATCCCCAGAAGATTACTAAATATTTTTGGATTCCCTTTCCTTAGAGAACAACCAAACATCACACGATTCATCACGTACACCAACACCGGGAGCCACCAGTACACCATCACCACCGCCAGAACCCATCGATTGGAGACCGTCGGCCAAGTGCAATTTCTGTGTTAACGGTCGCCTGCTAACGGTTAACGCCCAGGGAGATTTGGTGGCCGAAACAGCAGCAACAGCCACTAGTAGCAGCACTAGTAATAGCCACATTCATCAGGTGGGTCAACAATCCCTAACACCCCTAGAGGCCCAAAAAAAATATGTCCCTTTGATTAGAAAATCTCGAGGATACTATAAAATAAACATTGAAAAATTTAACATTTTTCTATACTTACCTACGTATATTTTTTTAATATATTACAATATTTCACTTAATGCACAACATATTTTTTGTATTCAAAATAGATGCAACTCTTTAAAATAATTTAAAATTATGAAACCTATTTTATGGTCTTTTAATTCATTTTGTTATAATTTATTTGTTATTGTAAAAATTGAATTCTTGTAGTACATTTATTTAAATCTCTGAATTTAACAAAATTTAGAAATCAAGTTTGAATAAAAATTGATAATAATAATAATGTCTGTTGTGGTACCACACAAATCACTTTTAAACTTAGTATGTAGGTGTTTAAATATATGCAGTAGACTTTTTTGAATGGACTTAATGTACATCTAGGTTAAAACTATATCGTTGCATACTTTAAGACACCAAAAATGATATTTAAAAGTGATTTCAAAACTCTAATGATTTTGATCTTTGTTTAATTTTTCCATTTTTAATTAATTTATTTTTTTCTAATTCTTTCTTCACGCAGCACGACAGTGACAGCGACTCGAGCACATCACTGCCCCACCAGAGCAGCAGCTACAACAACATTGGCAGTGGCAACAGAGCTCGCCACATTGCTGCTGCAACTGCAACACCAGCAGCAACATCATTAGCAACAGCAACTACAGCGGCAACATCCGCCAATTCCCTCGAACTGTACAAGCTGCTGACCCAGCGGGCAGCCAAAATGACATCGATGGACTCGATGGCCGCCCAGCTGGCGCAATTCTCACTGCTGGCCGACTTCAACCTGATCAACTCGCTGGCCAGCCAACAGCAGCAGCAGCAGCAGCAACAGCAACAGATCGCTAGTGCGGTAACGCCAACTACCTCAGAAGTATCTGCAGCCGCAATCAGTCCCGCACTCAAAGATACGCCCAGTCCCAGTGCGGATGCACCGCTCGATCTTAGCAGCAAGCCATCGCCGAACTCATCGATTAGCGGCGATGTGAAGTCCGTCAGGTGAGTGCCGAATTGGGGTTACCCCTTCTCTGCCCCTTCTCTTTTGCCCAGGGGGAGTTGCAGCACATAAATACCTATGTATAAGCATGTATTCAATATAAATCTGGCAATCTGCGCAAACGCCAAAAAAAATTTAAAAAAACCCCAACACAATACATACAAAAAAAAGAGGAAATTCATGTAAAACCGAAAAGGAGAAAATAGGTGGGAATTAAGCAATATTTTGGGCAGAAAACGAATATGGAATGCACTTTTTGGGCAGTATTTTTAATGTTTTTTTATTTGTACATTTTTAATGCCAAGTACTCGGGATCAAAAGGATCAGATAATATTCCAATAATGTTTTGTTGAAGCAATTTGTTTTTTTTTATTATTTATATTATTATTATGTTGTACCTATCTTAAATATTTTATTTAAAAAATCCATATCAAACAAACAGATCAACCTAACGCAATTTATATGAAATTCTGGTCTTATGATACAGTATAAAATATATTTTAGATAGAAATACACAAAAATTATGTTAAAATAATTTTTGGAAAACATATGTAATTCAAGAAAATAAACTTTTTAAGCTTTCTCGAGATGCTGAAGTTTTAACCTCTAAAACTACTAAAAAATATTTACGTAAAAATATAGATTAAAAAACATTTTCTAAAAAAAATATATTTTATGACCATCTAAAATTCAATAAAATAAACTTGCAATCGTTTCTCCCAGAAACCCTTAATTTTACCCACTAAAATTAGTGAAAATATTCGAATACCCCGAAAATATTGTAGGGCATATTGTTCACCGAAAAAACCGGAAAAAACACCGAATCGTGTGCCAGACAATACATGAGATAATTGCACTTTGGGCAGCGCCCGCCGCCTCTGACACTGCACTTACTGTAGCATACTTAACGGGGCACCCCACTCACACACTCACACACCCGCAGCCTCACCCATACAGCCGCAAATTCTGATGCTGTGGCAGTTGAAGCTTTATTGTTGTGAGCCTATGTAAAAATTGTGCAATTACACCACTGCCCGTGTGTGTGTGTGTGTGGTTGTGCGAGTGTGGTTTATGAAACGATGCCGAAAATTACACATACGCCCCGTTGCAGCCACGCTTAATTACCAGCGTTAGGCAGGTGGGCTGCATAAATTTACATGAAATCTCCAAAAAAACGACATGGAAAAAAGAAAGATTATATATGTAAGGAGAAAGGAAGAATGCGGCATTTATGTATTCCGTTTTGTGTGGCTGCATCTTAACTCCTTCAGCAGCTCCGCAATCTTTTTTCAATTCGCTGTTCGTTGACTTTTTTTCGCGTTTTGTTGCCTGCTATTTTTTTAATTACTCTAAAATGTTCAGCAGCACCTTTTATTATTACTTTGGGCTTTGGAAGAGGTGTAGCTGAGGTGTAGCTGAGGTGTAGGTGAGGTTTAGGTGTGCACTTCAGACGACAGAGCGTGTGCATAATTTCGCCGCACTTGCCAACAATTTTTGTCATTACTTTTTTCGGTGGGATTTTTTGTTGTTTGCGGTTCTGGTTATGGTTCGGTTTGTTCTCCTCCCTATTATTTTTTTTTTTTTTTTTTTTGCTCCTTGGCTGATGCTGATGCACCGGCGACTGTGGCAACGATGGCGGCTGCCACTTGAGCCGCAAAGCACGAGTCCTTGTCTATTGTCTAAAGCATGGCCAAGTGTTTGTTAGCAGCCGCCATCGTCGCCATGCACCATCTCGTACACCTATTTTAATTGTCGCACACAAAAAAAAAGCCAGAAGGATGTGTCAAAAAAATGTACAAAAAACCATGAATACATAAGGGGGTTAGAGGAAGTGCAAAAAAAGGAGCCATAGGGACATGGCAAGTCAGATATGGCCAAGGAAATGCAAAGAAGAAAGTAAGAAAAGCCAGACAGCACAGACATTGCCAAGCAAAAAGCTCAAGATTTTTAGGAAATTTACTGGAGAAATGGTTTCATAATTACTTAATTTAGTTTTAATATAATAAAAGATATATCTGTTATATATCAGAATTTGTTGATTTGAAAATTTATAGACAAAATAGGGTTTTTGTATAAATGTAGGGAACTAGAACACATGTTTTTAGATAATAAAATTAATTTTTTAATAATTTTTTGGTGCTCTAGACATTTTGATTGTTATTTTTTTTCTATTCTATCGAAATATTTATATTCGAGATTTTAGAACCTTTCTTAAATTCGATAAAGGCATTAGACAACGATCGACCAAAGTGTTCATCAATGGGGGCCAACCAGATGACCGAGACCCAACCCCTCACCCAAAAACCACCCCCTCAGCCACCCACTCAGACCATCAAACCACTTGAAGCACAAAAGCCACTGACGCTGCAATTTTTGGAGTTTTTTTTTTTCGTCAAGCGTTTATTATTACAGATTTTTTTCAGGCTGCTGATGCTGAGGATGATGAGACGGCATCGCTCCTCGAAGCACCAAAAGCAGCGACGTCGACGTCGCCCAGCGCAGCAGACAAAAATGAGTGCATCATATCGATCGCTTTTTTTTGCAAGCTGCGTTTTACTTTCTCTGTGTGTGTGAATGCACTGAGAAAATATGTAGCCAATAACATAATTAATTTATTGGGGGATATTTTTGATTGTTACTTTTTTTTCAAGAGGTAGTTGATCTTGGAAATAGTCTCACACCAGTAAAAAAAATCCCAGGTTCAATCTTCGAATATTTAGTAAATTTTTATTTAAATGGTTTTTAGATCTTTAAATATTTATTAATTGACTTCAGATGTTGTTAAAATTAAAACTCTGAAACTCACTGAAAAAAATACCATTTATTAAAAGTAAATAAAATAATAGTAGTTTTTCAATAAACTATTTAGTTGATGTTTTGAAAGAATATTAATTTTCCATAAACTAAACATAAACTATTTTTTCTCTATGTGTACCAGTGTCAGTGTTTTTTCGTATTTTTGGTCTTTCTTCTCTGCTACTTTTTTCTATGCACTTTCGGCGGGTTAAGGATGGGGTGGGAGAGGGGGCGAGGGGGCAAGCGGGGATTGTCGCTGGGTATATATTCATTATTTTTCGTTTACGAAAAATTCTCCCCACGCACACACCGACACCGAAAAAAAACGAGAGAGATTGCGAACGTAATAACTGGCAAAGAGTGACGACGGCGTCGACGTCGGCAGCGCAGTCGGCTGCGTTTGGCCCCAAAAAATACACACAACAACAAAAAGTACAAAAAATGAGCGAAATATATAAGGTACAAAAAAAGGAGCAACAACAACAGCAACAAAAGGTTAATGCGTGCACTGGCCATTGCGATTGTTATTGTTGCAGGGCAGCAATTTTTTAACGGTTTCATGGATCCCCCGTCGGTTTCATTATTTTATTTTCCCTGCCCTTTCCCCACGCCACTCTCATTTACTTATTTTTTCCATATTTTTGTCATTTCAATGAGTGTCGGCTGGTTGCCCGAATCGCGATTGCCCGATTTTATACCCAGTTATTTGGGCTTTATAGGCTTTGTACTTAATATAACATCGAAATCCCAAAGATCTTTCCGGAAAAATAATAAATAACTTAGACTTTCTATTCTCTTAGTAAATGTTATTCTAATATTGAAATAAAATTACTTTCCCTTAAGCGAAATATATATTCATATTGATAGAAACAATAACTCATCCCACTTCGTCCGTAGTATGAAAACACGGATCTTAGGATCGAAATATATTTATATTGATAGAAACAATAACTCATCCCACTTCGTCCGTAGTATGAAAATGCGGGTTTTAGGATAGCGAATGAAGCATTCGCTTTTAGTGACATAGGACATATAAAAGGAGGATTTTATTATAAACAATTAATACAACATATTTTTTAGAGTATTCCTAGAGTCAACAATTACCAATAAAATAATTTTTTGCCAGCTGCTAAGTGGTTATTTGTTTTGGCTTAAACCAGGGTATAACAAGGTCCTTTAAAGCACTTTTTTCAGCCTTTTTTTTAAACTTTGCCTGATTGCCGTTATATGCGTGAGTGAATGAGCGAGATAGAAACAAAAATAAAGTAAGTGCATACAAAAATGCAGCTGCAGTGACGTCGACGTCGACAGAGGCGTCGAAAAAAATGAGTGCATATCTTCCGAAAAAATGCAACTGCAATGAATGTGTGTGTGTGAGGTTGGGCTCTTGTATGGGTAGATGTATGCACAAGAATGTGTGTGTGTGTGGGGGGGGGGAGGGAGAGTGGGTGGAAGGGGGAGTTCAGGGAAAGGGTTGAAGGTAGGGGGTGGTGGGTTCGCTGCGCACGCATCAAGTGTAGGCGCTGTGGGGCGGACTGCATTGGCAACAAAAACAAACATGCAATTGCATTCATACCCACACACTCGCACACACACACACACACACACACACACATGCACTTAATGCATTTTTAACAAAATTGCATTCGACGTTGTCAACACACACACTCACACACACACACACACGTTTCGTGCACAAAAAAATGCCAGCTTGGAACGGGGGACAGTTGACGGCATTGTGCGCCCGTCGGAGCCAGCGGCAGCGGCTTCCTGCTGCCCCTCTACGGTCCCGCTCCCCCTCCCTCACCCCCACCCCCTTAACCATTAACCCCACATTCCATTCCTCCAGTGAAATGCCAGCCAGGCTCCCCTCCCCTCAGCTACGCCCCTGGCATATTTAGCGGCCACCAAACACGCAACCAAATTGAGAGACACAAAAAAGTACATTTAAAAAGCTCCAGTGAAATGCCAAAAATCAAAATCCAAAATAGTATTAAAAATATAATTGAATAGAGTTGTACATTTTGGGAGGGAGACTTTTAAACATGAATGCATTGGTTACCTTTTTACCTTTAATTGATATCAATTATATTACAATAACTAGGTTACAACGTGATAAGGTTACAAAGAGAGTTTTTGATTTAATATTCTAAAAAGTATTACGTTTTTAAAATGAGGTTTGATGTATCCTTTAAAGGGTTTATGTTATTTAGAGGAGCTACTAAAATGTGTTGTATAAATAAAATGATTGCCTAGTAAAAATATTTAGAGCTTTTTATTTTAACATTATTACCAACAATAAAGTAGTTTGCTCTACATAAGCTGTAATTATTCAGGTTTAATATTTATGGAAATTTTCATAGAAATCTTGGCAAACAAACCTTTCAACATTCTTCAAAATCTCCTAAATACTATAAACTGTTTTTTTTTAAATAAAAATTATTTGTGGACAAGGGAAGCATTCCCAAATATTAAAATGCTCATTTTATATTTCATTTTCGTTAAAAGAAAGTTTAATTTATAAGCATTGCTTTAAAAGGTTCTGCCTTTATTTAACCAGCCAATGGGCTTGACCTCCGCCTTGGAATCACACCTCAATTAACGTGTTTGCACAATTACCTAGCCAAATATAATTATTGTTAAAGCTGAATTAAAAAAAGTCTCTCTTTCCGAATAAACCGAAAATTATAACCAACTTTTCGACGGGGGGGTTCTGTCAGTGGGTGTTTTTTATGTTAACGAATGTACATGACCAAAAGCAAACAAAAGGTGTGGGATGAACCGACAAAAATGCAATATGCGCATAACAACAACAGCGAAAGAAATGCATTTCAGTTGCGTCAAAATTACAGTAACAAAAAATGCGAAAAAAGCAGCACACACGCACACACACACACGGGAGAATAATAAAAAAAAAGAAATCAACCCTTTTGCTGGCGCTGCCACAAATTAAAACAAAATGTCAGAAAAATTGCAACGCCAACGGAAAAAGTGGGAAAAAAGCAGGGACAAAGGGTTTGAGGTTCGCTGCTTTTTTTTTTGTATTTTTTCGGGTGCAAATGAATGCTCTCCACATGCGTGTGCAGCGGCAAAAACAACAAAGGCGGCAACAAATGCATGCATGTTGTACAACAAATGCAACAGCAGCAGCGGCGCCGGCAGCGACGTCGACTGCGGCAGCGACGGCTGTTGCAATGGCAAATTGCAATTGAAGTGCAGCCAAAAGGTAAACGACACCAACGAAAAAATCCAAACGACATTGAAATGACATTTTTCATTTATTTTTCCCGCGCGACATCCTTTGCAGGGGGTTGGGGGTTAACCACCCACCTCCCACCGAACACCACCCACTTTACCCATCCCCCCCCCTTTTCGGTTCTGCGCAATTATGCAAATTTTTTTCGCCTCTCCTTTTTTTTGGTAAATTATTTTGTATATGCAAAATGAGCAAAAATGCGAAAAACTGTCGCCATTAATGATGATGCCACCGCCCACAGCCCAATCCACTTACGGTCAGCCGAGCCACGCCTCCTTCTCCCCTCCCCTTTTAACCCGCCCCTGATCCTCCCATTACCGCCCCTTCAAAAAAAAGCATCAGCTATCATACAGTTTAACATTCACTGCCACCTGCTGCCGCTTTCTTTCTCTAGCCTGCATTTTTCATCTTTTTCCTTTTTTTTTGTGTGTGTTGTCTGCACAATTTTCAGACATTTTCCAGACGCGCAAGGACTCCCAAACAAATGGGCGTAGGGCTAAGAGGGGGTGGCGAAAAAAAAAGTAAAAAAGTTGCTATGACTTTGCCATCAACTTTTGCCAGGGCCGCCTCCTGTTGTGCCCCACAGCCCTCAGCGAAGGGCGCCAAAGAAGCTGTGCGTTTTCCCGCCCCCTTTTGGCCCACACACCCCCCACCCCTGCCACGCCCCCTTATTTGCCGGTGCAATGTACCCAGCCGCCCACGAAAAAAAAAAGAAAGGGTCTCGAGCTCGTCTCGTTTCTGGTTGCGCATAAAGAAAAGAAATATTTCGTGGAGCTTCGGCACTCGCAAAAAATTACAGATTGCCAAGGGATTTTAGAAAAGCCAAAATATACACTTGGACTAATTAAAAAATGTATACATTGATTTAATGACTTGTTTTTTAATTAAACCTATTTTAGGAGAGTCATAATATAGACTTTGACTAGTTAAAAAATGTATATTTTGATTTTATAAATTATAAATTAATAAAATCAAAGGGTTTTGGGGAAAAATAAATTGTAGATATAAAATGTGATGATTTTTAATAGTTTAAAATTTAAAGAAACATTTTTTTTATTCGCTAAAATATAATTCCTGAGAGATTAAAGTCTATTTAATAGAATTTTTATTTTTCTAACTTTCAAAACTTTTTTATACTTACTCACATAAATATTTACTTACATTTTTAGAAACCAGTAAAAAGTCTTTTAAAATAAAAAACAAAATAAAGGTTTGAAATATATACAATTTTTTAATTCCTGTCATGAGTATCAGCATTTTTTCCCAGTGCATCCCTCTTGTTGTTGTCGAAAAACAAAAGTTGCTTCCTCCTGATGAGTTAGTGGGGTCGAAGGAAATGCGCTTGGACTCACGCTCGCGTTGGTATTAAGTGTAAAATGTTGATTCTTTTTTCTTTTCTGGAGAATGTCTCTTCGGTTTTGTTCTTTCCCCCATTTTTTTGGGATTCGTCTAATGAACTTCAAAAACATATTTGGCCCCAAACTCACGACCACCCACCGATCTCCACTCGGCCAGACTCCCCTGACTTGTCATCTTTTGTCTTTGGCCAAAAAAAATGGCCACCGAAATGGGGAAAAAAAAGAAAAGATTGTATAGCACATCCTTGGCTTTGCCTTTGACACCAGTGCAGTGTCGTCTTTTCCTCGTTGCCTGCTGCAGACATTTAAGAAGCACTCATTGTCAGTCCTCTCGAGTGCCCCTGCCTCTGTGTGTGTGTGTGTGTGAGTCCCGAAAAAAGAAAGGAGTGCTTTCTACTAAGCCAAAAAGGGAAGTGGCTGTCAAGTTCTTTGATGGTCCTGCCAAAAAATATTACCCTCGTAGCCTGAACCCACTGACGAAAATTGCCGGGAGATAAAAGTTGATTGACTTGCTGACTTTTTGGCTGGTGAGATACGGTGGATGGTGCGGTGTGTCGACAGACCCTTCATCGTATATTTAAGGAAAATCCAAACAGAAATGCCAGAAAAACAGTATCTTATCGCAACACCTGAGTGGCTGTAAAGCAAAATATGACGTTTATAAACATGCAATAAACCAATCATCACAAGTTTGGGTTTTCTATAGTGATAGATAAGCTGCTTAAGTTGATAACAGAAAAATAACAAGAACATTATTTATAAGTCTATCTATATACCTAAAAATTAAAGAATTAATTAAGATTTTAAAAAAGGTTTCGTGGGTATATTTTAAAAATACTTTAGATCAAAAGGGTTACCTATACAAAAATGGTCTCGTCTTGATTACCACTTTCTTAATAAAAAAAAATAAAGGTGTTCCTTACCTTTAAAAAATACTTTTAAAATTGAGAAGTGCTATAAAGTAAAAATACCCCCTCTACAAAAAATAAATTAAAGATCCCTTCATTAAAAATAGAGTACATGCCACAAGGAAGATATACCCCTTCTCCCAAAAATAAATTTAATTAAATAGAGGTGTCTAATAAAAATCACCCAAAATATATACTAAATTTAAATCAATTTATCTCTTGCAGAGCCTGTGCCACGCCCACGCCTTCGGGAAGGAGGGCGTACAGCGAGGAGGATCTGAACCGGGCGCTCCAGGACGTGGTGGCCAACAAGCTGGGTCCCCGGAAGGCGGCCAGTCAGCACCATGTGCCGCGCTCCATTCTGGTCAACCGGCTGTACAAGATGCAGCACGACCTCGACCAGGATGCGGATGGGGACGAGCCGGAGGACTCCAACGACGATGGCGAGGCGGAGGTGGACAGCAATGCCTCCACTCCGGCGCCCTCATATCCGGATTTTGCCAGGTCGCAGCTGCGCAAGCTGAGCCACCTGTCCGAGCACAATGGCAGCGATCTGGGCGAGGATCTGGACCGGGGATCGCCGAAGATGGGACGACATGCGGGTGGCAGCAGTGCCAGTGCTACACCTGGGGCTCTGCCCTCCATCCCATTGGATGCCAATGTCCTGCTGCACACCCTCATGCTCGCGGCTGGCATAGGAGCCATGCCCAAGTTAGATGAAACGCAGACGGTGGGCGATCTGATCAAGGGTCTGCTGGTGGCCAACAGTGGGGGCATGATGAACGAGGGACTGCTTAATCTGCTGTCCACCAGTCAGGAGAACAGCAATGGCAATGCCTCGTTGCTGCTGCAACAGCAACAGCATCAGCAGCAGCAACAGCACCAGCAGCAGCAGCAACATGTCGCCGCCTATCGACATCGCCTGCCCAAATCGGAGACTCCGGAGACGAACTCCTCGCTGGATGCCAACGATGCCAGCGAGGATCCCATACTGAAGATTCCGTCCTTCAAGGTCAGCGGTCCGACCAGCAGCAGCAGCCTGTCGCCGGGTCACCACCCACACCACCATCCGCTGAACAACAACAACAGCCTCGGCGTGAGCAACAACAGCAATCACAGCAGCAGCAACAGCCACCGGAACGGCAGCAATCGCAGTCCACATTCCGCATCGCCCATGCTGGCCGCCGCCGTGGCCCAAGGTGGTGGCTACCCCGGCTCGAATAGCTTGCTGGCCTCCTCCTCGTCCAGCATCCAGAAGATGATGGCCAGCAATATCCAGCGGCAGATCAACGAGCAGAGTGGTCAGGATGGCCTGCGGAATGGCAATGTCAGCGATTGCAGCAGCAACAATGGTGGCGGTGGCTCCTCCTCCTCGCTGGGCTACAAGAAGCCGAGCATTTCGGTGGCCAAGATCATTGGCGGCACGGACACCTCGCGCTTTGGGGCTTCGCCCAATCTCCTGTCACAGGGTCACCATCAGGGTCACCACCTGAGCCACCACCAGCAGCAGCAGCAGCAACAGCTGAGCGCCCAGGAGGCAGCTGCTCTGGCGGCGGGCAAGGGAACGCGGCCCAAGAGGGGCAAGTACCGGAACTATGATCGCGATAGCCTGGTGGAGGCGGTCAAGGCGGTACAAAGGGGTGAGATGTCGGTTCATCGGGCGGGCAGTTACTATGGAGTGCCGCACTCTACGCTGGAGTACAAGGTCAAGGAGCGTCACCTGATGCGACCACGCAAGCGGGAGCCCAAACCCCAGCCGGATTTGGTGGGCCTAACAGGACCTGCCAACAAGTTGCAGCTGGACAAACTCAAGGCGGGACCCCATGGGGGCTCCAAGCTGAGCAACGCCCTCAAGAACCAAAACAACCAGGCGGCAGCAGCGGCGGCGGCGGCAGCAGCAGCAGCGGCCGCTGCCACGCCCAACGGCCTCAAGTTGCCCCTTTTCGAGGCCGGTCCCCAGCAGCTGTCCTTCCAGCCGAACATGTTCTGGCCCCAGCCGAATACGCCGAATGCCTACCGCCTGGACTTCAATCGCATCACGGAGGCGATGCGGAATCCCCAGGGCTCCAGTCAGCATGGCCTGATGAACAGCGCCCAGGAGATGGAGAACATGTACGATGGGATCATCCGGAAGACCCTGCAGTCCAGCGAGGGCAATGGCAGTGCGGCGGGCAACGGGAGCAGCAATGGCAATGGACATGGACATGGTCATGGCCATGGTCACGCCCTGCTCGATCAGTTGCTGGTGAAGAAGACACCGCTGCCGTTCACCAATCATCGGAACAATGACTATGCCGCCACCTGCTCGAGTGCCAGCGGTGAGAGTGTGAAGCGGTCGGGCAGTCCCATGGGCAACTATGCGGATATCAAGCGGGAACGGCTGAGCGCCGACAGCGGCGGGAGCAGCGATGAGGAGCACTCCCCCAGCCACATCCTCCACAGCAGCAGCAACAACAACAACAACAGCGATCTGGCGCACAACAAGAACAAGAGTGGCCTTGGTGGTGGTCAGGCCAATGGGAATGGTCGGAGCAGCCGGATGACGTCGCGGGATGACTCGGAAACGGATGCCAGCAGTCTGAAGAGCGGCGAAAGTGGCGGCGGCCATCAAAACCACAAAATCATGGATCTCAATGGGAGCAGGAGCAGCAGCAGTCACATCAAGTGCGAATCGGAGGCGATGAGCGGAGCGGGCCACCACAGTCCACAGTCCTCCTCCTCCGCCTGCGCCACCGCCACCGCCACCGCCTCCATTCTCCACGAGAAGCTGGCCCAGATCAAGGCCGAGCAGTTGGAGGTTAACCAGGCGGAGCAGTTATAGGAGCAGCCGATGGCCACGAATCCAGCGTTCGCCTGGCCACCGCTGGCCGCCCACTACTACAGCTTCTAAAGAGATGCGAGGAAGGCTGGGATGCGGGGGAAACCACCAAATTAAGCCACGTTTTTTGATAGTACCCTACAAAACACTATATAGAAATATATCTACATATATCTAGATCTATGCCAGCGATGTGGTAAATGTGCGCTAGCCCTTAGTTAAATGTATAATCAACTGCATAGGAGAAGGAAACAAACAACAACATAAAAAAAACAGAACCGAACAGCAAGCAAGCAAGCAAACAAACATACATTTATGCCCCGGAGTGTACAATGTATATTTTTGTTTCGTTTTGACAATCGACAAATAGGCATTCTCTTGTACAAACTTTCTTAAAAGCAAACAAAACAAAACAAAACAAAAAACAAAACAAATCTAAAACCTTAAGACCAAAAAAACAAAAAAAAAGAAGAGGAATACTGAGCAAAACCAAGAACCATTTTCATTTTGCATTTTGTTTTCGAACCGCATTTTTGTGTTGAGTGTATCTTTTTTATTGAACAGAACCAGCAGTCCAATGGGAAAATACATAGGTAAAGCAGAAATATATAGCCAACAGCAAATCAGCAAAGCAGTTACAAGCCAACAACTTAATCGACGTCTGTCTGGATAGGTTTTTGGCCCCTGAGCTGGGACTTTCAAACATTCCATAAGATACTCTCATACTCTTATGTTCCACATATACACTTTTTCTCCAGTTTACACAGTTCTTTATACAAATTTCAAATGCCAGTCAAATCTTCAGCTCACATAGGGCCAAAATCCCAGGCAGGCGTCTTCGACATAGACAAAATGAGTATAGCCAACAGCAACAACAACTACAATAACTACAAACTACAACAAAGACCATAACAACTACAACAAGCAACAACATCAATATCCGATCAATAACAACCAACAAACAAGCAATAATAATACAAGACTCTACAATACAAAGAATAAAAACAGACACCAAAACATTGAAATAGCAAAATTCAAAAGTGAAAACCGAAAAACAAAAAACAAAAAACGAAGACCAAAACAAAATTATCCACAAAAATTCAACATTTTTTATGATTTCAAAAGATGAAAATACAAACGGAAATCAATAAACAAAGCTGCCTTCACATTTACAAATTAAATAAATTAGTAAGCAAAGCGAGACAGAGCACACAAAATAATAATTCAAATTAAACGCAAAACGCAGAGTAAAAAATAAGAAAAAATTCAAAAATAAGAGCCCCAAAAATAATCTTTTATTTAGCCAATACAGAAATTAAAAAAATACCAAATTGAATATCCCAAAACATTTTCCAATCACATACACATTTAATTTTCTTCAAACCAAAGCCACACATATTGAACTAAATTAAGCAAAATTAAAATGTTTCGGTGTTAAAAAAAATATAAAGAAAATTGAAAAAAAAAAATTATCTGTGTTTAGGCTTTAAAAAACGGAAATTTATATCGAAAATTTCAAGATTTTGGCTTAAAAGTATAAAAATAATTGTGAGAACACACATTTCATGTACAGTCGCCTAACCACCAAAAGTAAAAAGCATAAATATATAAAGACTTTATATTACTATATACTATATGATATATATTTGTATATTTATGTATGTGTGTGTCTTCATCACTACGCGTATACCTCAAACCAAACACATGATCATTTTGAGCAACTAAATATATTTAAATGTACTTATACACTCTACACACTCTTTTACAGGAGAGCAAAACATATTTACACAGTTAAACCCCCCTAAACTTTGGCCCTCCTTTCGACGTATCTATATTTCGTTTGACTTTGAAATTCTATCTATGGGTAAACAACTAACTAAATGTCTGCGTAAATGAAAATAGATGAAAAAATATATAAATGTACCTAAAAACATGTTTTGTGTGCTAGCTAGTAAGTGTCAAAAGAAAAAACCATACAAAAACGATATACAATATATTTAAAAGGAGACAAGATGTGGAAAAATTGTCGGTAATATTTGAAAATATTTAGTGAATTATAATACAAGAAAAAAATTAAGGATATGGCAAGGAAAGTTGTGGAAAATTGTAAGCGAAAATGCGTTTAAGAATTACCATTGAAATCATTTAAAAGCATTTAAAGTAATTATAATTTCCACGATGCGAATGGATAAAAAAAGTATTTATTGGCTAATCTCCCAAATTACATTTGATGTGCATAAATGTTGTGGTTTAGTATCAAAAAGAAACGGAAAACAAAATTAAAAGTTAAGGCTTAAAAATGTAAAATCAAAATTAACTAAATTATGTATTTGGTATAATAGAGAAGAGTTCTGCAAACCAAGAGGAATTAAAAAATGTTTATTATATGAAAAATGAAGAGGAAAAGTGAAAAGTAAGCGAAAGTAGGTAAAGAATGAATGGAAATAAATCAAAAAGTATTTATTGCTAATTTAATTATATTTGAAGTATACATACATATTTATTATATACATACATATATATTAGACACACTATCTGTGATTAATAATCCAAAATTTTGAAGAGCATTTTCTGAAATAATGTTGGCTAGGCATATGCAAAAAGACAAAACCAATGGATAAAGAAAACACACACCCATGTAAACAAATTGTAGACAGATCGGATAAAACCAAACTAAACCAAGCACAAGCTAAAGGTCAAATGCAGTTGACCCCAGAAATCGGAAGCTGCATTTGGCCAAAAGGATTTCTTAAGCTACGGCACACATCACTAAAAACAGCAACTGAATACTGAAAATAAATGATTAAAAATAGAAAACAGCAGAAGATGGTACTGTTCAGAACATATATAGTTGTATATATTTTGGAATAATGTTTACCAGTTCAAGTCAAAATTAAAAAAGAAAACATAACGCAAAGTCTTTTATAATGCAAAATTATACAAAAGAAAATTATAAATAAAATTCAGCAACATTTAAAAATTAAAAATAAAAAAATATTGATGTAAAAAGAAAGAAAATCAAACTTAAAATAATAAACAAGATAAAGTGCAATTATACGGTTTAAATAAGCAAATTTAAGAAACAAATGTTATAAAAAAAAGCATGTTAAAACAATGAAAACATATTTCGAAGCAAGTTTAGCTACAAATTCCAAGGCAACTGATAATGACAAGAAACCTTTACAAGATAAACCAAAAAAACATTCACACAAAAACAGACAGCAAAGTCCCTAAGGTACAGTGCGTTTCATGACCAAAAGACATAAAATGGAATTCTTACAAAGCTTGATTTGTTGGCTTTGATTGTGGTAAAAGGAAACTGAAACGCACTGCTCCTATGGACATATAGCCCCAATATCTGGAAACAGAATTGAGGGCCAGGGATAAAACCTTTACGAAAGATCATAACTGCAGAAACCAAGTCGAGAGTCGAAATGTCAACCTAGTGGTAGGTCTAAACACAAAAACAAAACAAAACAAACCAATCGAGTGTATTTGAGTAACAGCTTGAGAATGTTGAATTGTATAGAATTTTTGCATGTTCACCTGGTCGAAAGGGGCGTGGTTACGCCCCCATTCTTAACCCTAGGTGGACAGGCGAAAACGCTCAGGTACGTGTTTTATTTTTCGGAGAGAAACAAGATTGATTACCCATACATTACTTATTCTTTGTTTTACTACAACATAATAGTTAATATTTGTATAAAAACGATAAAAACGTGAAAGGAAAAGAAAAGCTAAAAATTGATATATTCATAATATAATTGTTTAAAATGGTTTGAGAGCGAGGAATAAGAAGATGAGAGAGTTTCTAGCGTGCTTAATGAAATTGCTCATATTTGTGTATAAAATCTAATTTGTTCAATGCGAATCAAAATTTGCTGAATATAAGTGCATATATATAATTAGAGTTTATTTTCGAGTTTAGTTTAGCGCATAAAATGATTACGATTACAATTATTATTATTATTAATTATGATCTAACCGTAGGCAAATCAAAATTTCTTCACATAAAACAATCAACTTCTATTTTCAAATATTATATATAGAATTAACTATAATTATTATTCATTATTATATCGACTAAAAATATTTAGCGCGTTGTTAGCCTCGATTTATGGTTTGTACATATTAGACAACATTTTAATGGTATTCTCCTCTTTTTTTATTATTACTAGAATTATTACTCCCTATTTTTATTGACTTCTTAAATGGGCAACATCATTTGAACTATAGTGCAATTGTTTCAAACAAAACCAAGCAACCAACAACAAATATATTAACATTAAAGATTAATATAATTTACAAGCTTTCTTTGCCGATGCCAAGAAGGATGAATACAGCATATGTTTGCCGTATGGATCGAAAATCAAAAATCATTTTAAGTGCACATAACTCTTCTAAATAGCAGTTAGACTACGCCTAGGTTCTCCATTATTATGCGCACGCTTCAGTCCAAAAATTGAAATTCTTCACATTCTCATTGTTCAGAACGAGACATCACAAGCCAGAAAAATAAAAGAACTCAAAACTTTTCTCCTAAGTTCAACTTGAGCGACCGCAACAACTTAAGATCAGCAAAGATCACAAGCGAAAAATGCTAAGAAACAATAGCCCAGCACAGACAACAAACAACAACCAACAACAATAGCCCGAAAATAATTGAAACAAAAATTGAATAAAAAAGAAATGAAAAAAAAACAGTAATTAATTAACAAAATTAATTAAAATACAAAATGGATAATAGATGTATCCAGAGCTCAGATAAAATCCAAGCAACTACAAACAACAGCCTAAAGTCGATTGTACTTTTCTTTTTTCTATCCACAAATACAACCAACAAACAACAGCAGCAACCACAATTTTATTAAACAATAGTACTACTCTTACTACAGAACTTAAATAGCCACAAGTAAATAGAAATAGCCACAGCAATTAACTTTAAACAAGATGCCCAAACACACAGATACACACAGAACCGTTTCTTCAAAACAGATTTGTATTCATAGCCACATAACCGATACAATAGCCACTTAATTAGGATCGATCATAGCCAAGCAATAGAATCAGATACAAACTCAGAATCGGAACTCAGAATAGGAAATCGAAAATCGAAAACCGAAAACCGGAAATCGGAAAAAGAAGCAGCACCAAATCGAACTGCAAAGGCAAAACCATTATATCAATAATAGAAAAAACAAAACAAACATAATGAATTAAAAAAACAAAACCAATTTTTATTTCAATTATTAACTTTTAAACACAACAACAACAACAGCTCCACACAGTTACAGTTACAACAACAACAATAGCCCTAGAAAAATAATATTCATAATTAATCAATCAATCAATCCGTAAAACCAACAACTTCAATAGTTATAAGCAATTGGCATTAAAAAAGCAAGAAACAACCACAGAAAACTTAAATCTTAGCCAGGCAAAAGTTTTGAGAATATTTTTCATTATTTTTACAACAAACAAACAAACTGATGTAAGTACAATTCATAAAATTAGACTTTTGGTAAACTACAATACAGAAAATAGAGCAAAAAACCCTTTTTTGCATTTACATAATTATTGCAAAATTTAAAATGAACGATTTTTTTTAGTGCAAAACAAAAGCCAATAAGCAAATAAAAAAAATTCGCATTATTATTAGCAATAGCCCATAAGTACAGCAAGTGTATTTAGCATTACAGCTAAGACACAAAAAGCAGAGATTTTTAACAAAAAACAGAAAAGGGAAGAAAAAACTTAAAACTGCAGCAAAAATGTGAAATTTATTTTGTTCTGCGTTGAAAAAGAAATCCAAAATAAATATGTTTATTTTATAAGTAATTTATAAACATAATGAAATTTCGCTTAATTTGATTTACACAAAAGTAAATGTAATAAACATATTGTAAACCTTAAATTAATATTTACAACAGCAAAGGCAAAAATTCTGTTTAGTAAGGCGTGCATAATTGTTATTATATTACACAGACACACATAACTAAGTTTAAGTTTATAATTTTCGTTATCCTTATTATTTACTTATTATGTTTTAAACGCAAAAAAACCAGATATATACAATATATTTACGAATTAAACGTTTATTAATAAAATGAAAAATATTTTAGTTAAACCATTTGTTTATTGTTTCCATTTATTATCACCACAGGAGGCTTTCCGTTCACATATTGCAGAAGATAAGAAAAACATATGAATATTAAATTAAGCACAGTCTAACAATTGCAACAAGATACTTAATACCATTATACGCAATAGTTATAATTGACAGATGACAGAAATATTAATAAACTGAACAATAGCCCAAAGTAAATATTGGCCGTGATAGGAGCCGAAAAAAAACTAGAAAATGGTTTTCTAACATGGCCAATATTTGCTCCATTTTCACATGCAAGAGATGATGAGCAACAACAATTGGCACTCAACAGATGCAACTACCAACAACAACAACAACAAACAAACAGAATAACAACAAAAGGCAATTGAAACTTTACTTTCGGTTAATTGAGTTTCGTTTTCAGTTCAGTTCTTAAGTTGACTCTCACCACTTTCGAGAATTGTTTTGGCTCCAACCTACTTACCAATTTTGGACTATTCCGAACCAAAATCAATGAAGGCAGAAACTAAAACAGGCGAGCCAAAGGAATCGTACATCTAAACTCAACACAGCTTCAGGGACCAACTAAAGGAGAAATGATTTAAATAAAAATTAAACAAACAACTGGTAAATTAAAACTAAAATGTAAACACAAAAGGTGTGAGACAAGAAAATAACTAAAGCTAAATCAAGTTTTGAGGCATATCTTAAAGGCAAGAAAAAAAATCTAAGCGAAAATTTCGAAAATTGTGAAAACTATGTATGCTAAATTATGCAAACCCAGAAAATCATATGTGTGTACATAAAAGAAGGAGCAACCCTTTTGGTAATCTATATACATATATTATATATATTTAGCGTGTCAAAAACATACATCTAAAGGAACAAAAAATATCTAAGTGCAGAAAATACTTCAGGCAATGAAAACTTTGGATAAATTCTGATTAAAATTGTATTTCTAAGGCGAAAATGTATACGATATGAAAGGAAATTTAAACTAAAAATGGATTAAGTGTAAAAAAAAAATACATATTTGGATGGCAAGAAAAAAAATGATAATGGAAGAGACCCCTTAATTTACATAGCTCTAATTATTATTTCGCTTTGGCGGTGACCTTTTGTGTAAATAATGAAATCGACACACACACGCGAAAGCCAAGTGGGATTCTCTACAAATCGAATATCAAATGAAAAACAAAACCCAATTCAAATTAGCAAAATTTTTGTCAACAAAAAAATGACCTAGTAAATGCTAAATTCAAATTTATAGTACATATTTGTGTATGTATGAGTGTATTGCATAAGTTCGATGTGAGTGTATAACAATTATTATTAACATTATGCTTATCACTTTTGTTTCCAAGTTTTTTCGTTCGTAAAAACCAAACAAAGTCGAAAACTAAATTTGAAGCCAATAATAATAAACAACAAAAACATGTGCTGAACTGCTGAATTCCAATTGAATTGCAACAAAAAAACAAAAAGACATAAACAAAAGTAAAACATTTCGAAATAACTCAAATGTATGGCAAAAACATTGTAAAAAAGTATAAAAAACAGACGAGTCAAGGAAGACAAGGATACGGGCAAAAATTGCTTATGGAAAAGTTAAGATTTGTGTATATGTGAGGAGAATGAACAAAAATAGCAGGTATACAATAACTGTCGGAAACCAAAACTAAAGAAATGAACAACTTGCAGGAGGGACAGAGGAAATACAAGCCCCAAACAAAACTATTAACTTGTAATGATGTGAACTTGGAGCATACTCTCAGTATTTTTATGAATACTGTCAATAAAACATTAATTAAAGATTACACATTTGTTTTCTTTTTAATCGGGGTGGACGGGTAAAATGGTTAAAAATTAATTTCACTATAGGTAAGTAAAATAATAGAAAGTTATACACACAAACAAAAAACAAACTTTACCAATGTGGATAGTTACCTAACTGTAGAGAAAGGGTAACAACAATTAAGATTAGTTACGTTTATTTTATGGTTACTTTGCTTACTATTTAATAGTAAAACTAGCATAGAATGGTTAGTTGTGTATACTTTGTTGTTGGGAGAGGAACTATTTCGTTGGTGACGCTGACAATTCGATGGGTTTGGAACCATTTACCTATTATATTGTTAAATTGTACCAACAAATTTTTTTTGTATAGTTAAGTAAAATGTTAGCAAAGTACAAAATTATGTTAATTTTTGTGGGAATCAAAAAGTTCTACATTATCACCACCTTAAAAATTCCCTTTGCTGTCAAAAAAAAATGTCATTCAAATCTTGTATAAATTCACCAGTTGAACTTCATTTTCGACACGTTCAGATCATCGTAAATGTTTTTATAAAAATCCACTAAAAATAAAAAAGAAGAACTATTAAATTGGTTACAAGGTCAAGTCCCAAAATTCGGAAACTCTTAGAATGACCATTCAAAGACTGAAGTGCGACCTCAGTCCGGAGCTGACCACCTGTCTGCAGCTCAAGGACTGTGTGCGCCCGGATTGCTGTCCCACCCGGAATCCGATTCCCTACGATGCCGAGTGTTTCGTGGGCGACATTGGCAAGGAGCTGGACCAACTGATCCGGCGGCACCAGCGCATGTTTGTGAAGAGGAAGCGACTAATGGAGATGGCCGTGCCCAATCGGCGCTACTGCCGCTTTGTGCCCAAGTGCGCCTGCCCCTTTCCCAAGTCCATCGAGATGGTCCGCCCCTGCGACGCCCAGAGTCACACACGCACGGAGCAATTGGCCCTGCCCATGGTGCGCCGGCTGCTCCAGAGGCGGAGGACGGCCATCCTGGTCGGCGATTCGATTGGCGAGTCCATCCTGAACAGGTGGCTGCGCTACAGCTACCTGTCGCTCTACAGTCGCCTCGCAAACACCCAGCCCTTGGTAAAACCGTAAGTTTACTACCACTACCACACTCAAAAAAATTTTATGGTATGATTAACCAATATGGATAGTTACGTAACTATAAAATAGGTAATCAGCTATTCAATTTAGGGATGCGCATTTTGTTGTTGCTTTGGTTATTATTTAATAGTAAAACTTCAATAAAATTGTATGTTCTGATTTTTTTCCGTTGTGAGCCTAACTATTTCTGTGGTCAAATTGACTATTTAAAGACTATAAAATACCTTTATCTTCTATATGACCCAATAAATATTCTACGCTATGCTATGGCTCGCCTGTATGTTAAGTTAAATAATATATATTTTTTATAAACCATTGATAGAAATTATGTTAGTATAATCATTATACAATTTTTTGATATTCGCCCTCTTTTAGGAAGAAAAAGAAGAAGAAGACGGAAAAGCAGCTGGCTCGTCACGAAAAGTACATCGAGAAGTTGGCAAAGCCAAAGAAAGCGCCAAAGCCCGCCAAACCGGTAAGTGAAAAATACTAGTTAACTCCTAGAACATATCTCATAACATATATCACAATATATCGCATTTCCATTTTTGTATTAAAATCCAAGTACTAGGAAGAAAATTAATATTAGGAAGCTATTCCATTTTATCGCTAACAGCTTAAAAAATTTGGAATTTACAAATTTATATTGAAGATTACGACTAATTTTGTATTCTGTATAGGAACGGGGCGAGGGGCAGTTCGACCCGCAACGCCTCAACCAGCTAGCATGTCCCAAGGCCTATTTGGAGGAAATCAAGCCCAAATGGGAGCTGACCTCCCAGATGAAGGACTACAAGGCGACCAAGCGAATCAAACAAATATCACAGCCCGTCATGCGGGAGAATGTACACATCAACGAAACGCCCGAGAAGGTTTCGCCAAGTGCACTTCACTACAAGCGTAAGTACTCGGTATAGGCAGTAATAGTATCCTAACAAGTATCCTCCAATATAACATACCATATTTAAAAAACGAAATATATTTATATATCATTCTACATTTAAAATATAAATAACCAACAAATGGTTATGGAATCAAATCTTGTTATTTGATTCTAAAATCTTGGAAATTATTGATGATAATGATATTAAATATATTTTTTCCAAGGGACACATTTAGTATTTTTTCCATCTGTTTATAAGTAATACTATCTTCAACTCTCCCCACAGCGAGTGCCCGCATCAAGGAGATGTCCGTACCGCTCACGTCGCGCGATGCCAACCAGGGAATGGCGGACGTCAAGGAGAATCCTTTCGGGATCGCTCCGAATGCGCTCAAGTACAAGCCGAGCACGCGCATCAAGGAGCTGGCGGAACCCAAGGAGTTCGAGAACACGCACATCCGGGAGAATCCTTTCGCCATTTCGCCGGCGGCGCTGAAAGCCAAGGCGTCACCACGTCTCATCGAGCTGGCCAAGCCCAAAGGCGGATAAAACCCTCCGGAAGAGCCCTGAACCTCAGCATAATCAGTTCTATCGTATTTGGCGTTCTAAGTTTTGCATTTTGGCCATATTTGGTATTGAGTTTTCTATTAAAATTGTCTTTGGTTTTTTAAAATACAAGTGTTTTTCTTTGAAATGTTTTAGGATTAGAAAAACAAGAAAGGTATCTTTGTACTACAAGCTTTTTATTGAAAATCCATGCAACGATTAATAAAAGGGATCTGGAAATATCTGTACTGCTGCTCAGATGATCTCCAGATCCCTGACATTTCTCGTGGAGGATATATCTTGGGATTGGCCAACTCCTCGAGACGTGATGTGATTTTGGCTCGTAAGGCACGACCTGGAACTCGGAATGGTGTCTTTCGGGTGCACGTATCCTCACGCAGCTTAGGTTTGGCGAGCTTCTTGAGGCGTTTAGTGCTTATTTTGCGGGATGACTTCTTTCTTGGGACCCTGGGCAATTCCACTCGCAGCTGCGTTTTTTTCGGCTTTGCCAGATAATGAATCCTAGGAGAAGCTTTTAAGATTTTTTAGAATACCAATAATTTTAAATTGAAAAATTCCTTTTTTTACCTTTGTAGTGCAGGGCACTTGATGATATCTTATAAGGATTCTTAGTTTGCTTGAATGATTTTCTTTTGATAACCAGAAAGGTATCTTCTTTGGACAACCGTATTACCTTCGGAAACATCCAGGACTTGGCTCTAGGTTTTTTCCAATTTCCTAGATGATTCCGCAGACGATCGGAAGACCAAATACAGTTGGAGGAATACGATTTCCTTTCCTCCAATTCTGTAATTTCTGTAACATTCCCTAAACTATGATTCTCCAAATTAAGATCTGGCAAGTAAAGCCTTCGAGGTCGACTCCTAGAGAAGATTGGTCGCTTTCTGCTTGTCCAAACTGGTTGATATACCTGCCTTGGCAGCGGCCCTCCCGATCTAAAATCAACAAGAGCTTTTCGAAGGCTTGCCAGAATTAACATCTGTTGCCAAGAAGGCTTCTCGTACTGAGTGTGCCGGATGAGTTGGGAATAACGATGAAACATCCGGTTCCAATATGGTTTGGGCGCCTGTCTGCGACTTTTCGACATGACAGCTCACAAAAGGCAAACAAGGTTTCTCAAATAAATTTTGGGTTTTTTTCGTTTGTTTGTATTACTTAAAATTTAGACAGCTCAAACTGACAATGGCTTTTAAATAATAATTAATTTAGATTTGAGTTTATTGTTATCTTTCTCACAGCTCCAGTGGAGTGGGTCCACTCAAAGCCATCCGCTATCAGTTAAATTGGTTTAGCAATATCATTTGTTTTCGTTTTTTCTTTTTTGCTATTCAACAAGGTAAACAAAGTATAGGTCGGCCGTAGAAGAGGATCTTTGCAAAATCAAAATTGGGAAAAAATAATACATAAATAATTACAACATAATCAAGGATCAATGTGTTACTGCCAATTGGTAAAACTAAAGAATTCGCGGGTTCGATTCGGTGCGTGTCTTGGGGCGTTTCAATTGGACTAAACTTAAATATTCGCCGGAAATAATACTCAAATGAATGCACTAAAGACATCGGAACAAATAAAAAATTGGACGTAATAGGAAACTAAGAACTTTTAAGGTGATTTTTCAACAATTCAAATTTAGCTGTGGCAACAACAGAAACTGTCTAGTGTCGATTAAATAAGCGCCAACGTTGTTGCCCATGATGGAGAAGGTTTGCTGATCGCGCCGGCGATGACAGTGGTGCCCGTCTAGGACATGTTCTGGATGATGGCGCGGGTGAAGTCCTGCGTGGTCGATTGTCCGCCCAGATCCTTGGTACGCACCTTGCCATCGTTCAACACCTTGTTGATGGCGTTCTGAATGATCTCGCCGTAGGTTGGCAGGTTGATGTGACGCAGCAGCTTCACGCCGCAGAGCAGCATGGCAGTGGGGTTGGCCACGTTCTTGCCGACAGCCTCGGCGAAGGTGTGACGTGCACCCTGCAAACAGAAATCGGATTTAGAGATAAGTGTGTGGAGTGGACTCGCACTACTATAGTCGAGGGTCTCGTAAATCAGAGTCTATTACAGATTAAGCTCCCGACAAAAAATATTAAACTGCTGATTAATCTAGTAGTTATCTGACTTCTTCTAATATACAATTTAAAATTCTCCTTAAAATGCGGAAATATTTACTAGAATAAACAACATCAATCTAATTAATCTTCATTAAAAATTAACTATTTCATCCGAATGCACCGAATGTTTAAAATATTATCTCACTTTTTAAGAGTGCAAATCATAGCAATATTAATATTCAGAATTTTTGAATAATTTAGGAAGCAGCAAAATGCAAATGTGAACCTTAAGATTATTAAATTATCTTACCGGCTCAAAGACCACAGTCTCCGAGGAGTAGGAGGCACCGGCCACGACACCAGCACCGCCCACAAGACCACTGGCCAGATTGTCGACAATGGCGCCATAGAGATTGGGAGTGACCATCACGTCGAACTGGTTAGGGTTGGAGACCATCTGCATGGTCGTGTTGTCCACGATCATCTTCTCAAACTGGATGCGCGGATAGAGCCGGGAGACGTCCTCGCAGGAGCGAAGGAAGAGTCCATCGCCCAGCTTCATGATGTTGGCCTTGTGCACGGCGGTGACCTTCTTGCGCTGGTTCTTGGTAGCGTAGTCGAAGGCGAACTTGGCGATGCGCATGGACTTTTTGTAGGTAACAATCTTCAGGCACTCCACAATTCCGGGAACCGACTCGTGCTCCAGAGCCGAGTACTCGCCCTCGGTCTGCTCGCGGATAATCACCGTGTCGATGTTGGTGTGGCGCGTCTTCACGCCGGGCAGACTCCTGACATGCACCACATTAGCGTACAGATCCAGGTCGTTGCGCAGCTTCATGTTGAGGGTCTGCAGGTCACCCACATTGCTGTAGTCGGGTGTGGCCAAAACGCCCTGTAGAATATCGGTTAGAGTCGATCACGCTTTTTGGTCCAGACCAAGCTCACCTTAATGCACACTTTGTTCTTCTGGATGGAGGCCACCACATCCTCCAGTTTGGCACTCAGAACTGGATTGATTTCGGAGAGGAAGTAGCACTCGAAGTCCACGGGAACACTGGCTGCCTAAAAGATAAGATAATACTATTATGCATATTTACTTTACTATTTTTAAATTTTAAAATCGAACCCTCTTGATAAATACTTAAACAAGTCAAAATTATCTTGTGTCTTACAATATGCTTTTGTTAATAACGTTTTAAAAATTAATAAAAACAAGTCCCTAGTTATACTGAAATAAAGAGTACGTCCCAAAAACATGGTTTAAAGAGGATGTCTCATATAAATCTACAAATATTTTTAAGTAGCCACTTATCACATATCTTTACGATGCAGATAAGTTAGGGTGCTTTGATTTATATAATTAAAACACTCGTCATTGTGAAAATTAAAATGTTATAAAATATGATTCAACCATTATTAATTTACATACCCGAGTGCTCAAACAAATTGAGCTTAATATTCCAACAAAATTGGTACAGAAAGTTAACAAATCTTAAACTCAATTAATAGTTGGAAGTTTCAAAGCATTGATGATGATATATGTTATGATCTGAATTGCTACCTCAAAAATTAATGTATCTCAAAATATAATAAAGATATGCTGTCCATTTAGGCTATGACAACAATGTTCTATAAAGATTATACTCCCAATATGATTTTTTACAGGACAACCGTGTACAAATGATTGGATCTTGATGGGTAACTACCTTGAAGACCTCCTGGAGGGAGTAGACCAGCTCGGGACCCACACCGTCGCCGGGAATGAGTGTGCAGGTGGTCCTGTTGGCGCCGTAGCTATCCTGAAAAACGAAAGATACTCTGGTTACATCTGAAACAGCCGAAATGTCGCATATAACTCACCGTAGCTCGGAGCGCCGACGTGGTGTGCACACCACGTGCTGCCGCAGCCTAAAGGGATTAAATTCAGATAGAGTTAGGCATAGATCTGGCTAGGATTATAACCTCAAAAAAATAAGAGAACTGGGCCCCAGTGCAGAAATATTCGCACAGCGCGTCGCGGGCAAGTGTTTATGTAAGAGCTGCGGATTCCATGGGCATTTACCTGCATGAAGGTGCGTCCAACGGTTCTCGCCAGCATCGACATTTTGCTTATCGGTTCGCTGGATCTTCCGGCTGCTGCTCAAAAATCAAACGTGAGTCCTGTGGGCACGGGAAATTTGATTGCGATGTGATTTTTGCTCCGGTGCCAAAACCGAAAATTTCAATAGGACCAAATCGACCACGCAAACCAGCTGATTGCCTCTGGCTACCAGGGCTGGCTACAGCCGCCCACGAAACGGTGCGCGTCCAGGGTTGGCTAACGACCAACTATCGCGACTTTGGCGGGCGATTTAGTAACGAAAATGTAGGATTATTGAAAAAATATTTTCTGGAAAAACCACATTTTAGGTAGGGTTTGACTTTGCTTGCTTTACTACTCCGTTTTTAATATTTGTAAAAGTTACAAAACATCATTTTATTTCGACTCCTAAAATATTAGGAAATGACATAAAAACTTATAATTTAAAAAGTTAAACCATAAAAAGGTGTGAGTTATAATTTGTAAGCTAAACACAAGACCAAAAGCAAGAATATGAATAATATCTGCAGAGAATCAAGCACTCATATGTCAACCAAATGAAATAAAGTCAATCAATTTATTCGTAGGATTTTATTTGTTTACTGTTTCAATAAATTAAACAACTAATAGATTGTAGCCGTTACTAGTCACAATGTTCTTCATAAAAAGTTTTCAATTTCAACCAGCAATAATCGAGTATATTTCACATTACGATCATAGTACCGGGTTTACATTTCCAGAAGACCTTCCCAAAATTTGTTTGCGGATTTAATAGTGGCTTTTCTCTATATATAATTTGTATAATTGAAGCTAAACAAAATGTTACAAATATATATAAGTGTTTTTAAACTGTGATCTCTAATTGGACAAATTACATATTGCTGTTTATATTTTCCGTTTAGTGGCTGTGGCTCCGTCTTCTCCTGGACTACTGACAAATAATAAGTGTATCTTTTTGTTTCGGGAGGAAGGGGAAATGGGACGTAGTCTACAAATACAGAAGGCCGCTGGCAGCTGCGTGGGCCATCAGGGTGTTGGCCGCTTGCTGCGTCTCCAGCATGAGCCGGGCCTCCTTTATCCATTCGCCGGCGATCTTGCGGGACGCACCCTGTAGCAGGTTCATGTACTTCAGCGCCTGCAGGAAGTCGCTGCGATCGACATGGTACCTATAAAAAATTTAGCATTAATTTTTGGTCACTGCTCTTGATGATCCTGCTTACCTGGCCCTGTTTAGGATATCGTAGGTGTCCAGTTTACTGTAGTCGAAGGGTTTGTTCTCGAGTTCGTCCTTGGAAATGGGATTATCGGGTCGCAGAATGAACAGCGATTGCAAATAAGACAGGAAATAGATGGGCAGGCCGGCTCCATCCTCTGGCACCAGAGCCAGTCGTCGCGCCACGCGCTCCACATTCAGGAAACGCTCGCGCAGCGCCTCCTCGGGATAGACACCGCGCTCCTGAGCCTCCTGTGGCACGCTCTGAAGCACGGCTGCCACCAGATCGTCGCCCTCTGTGATTATTATTGCATTAGAAATGTTCTACAGTATGTCAAGTAGTTATTTTGAAACTTACTAGCCACCTTGGCAATGGCGTTGAGCTCGTTCTTAAGGGGACGCAGCTTCTCCTTGTAGTGCACGCCAGGAGTGGCAGTGCGCACGGAGGCCCACAGAGCTTGACAGGCGGCCCACAAGGCCTGCGCCTGATTGGCAGTACGCTCTGCATCCGCACGCTCTATGAAATATTAAAAAATTAATAGTTTTTTAACAATAGGTGTCCGTAATGCAATTCTTGAAAATAGTAACACATTTAATTTAATTATAAAGTAAATAAATACAAAAATGAAAGCTATCCACAAAAAATAAATGTTTTGACTTTTTACACTCTAAAAATACCTTGAAACTCATCCTCTATCTCTAAAATAGCAGCATGTTTCGGGAGTGTATGAAACGATTATATTTCTAGCCAGACTACAC